CAAATAAAAAGCGTGCTACAGTCGTTGTCCCACGCGACAACTGGATTTTTTTCCCTACAGGCGTCCCCCCACGGGACAACTGGATTTTTTTTCCTGGACCTCGGGTGCGCAAGCGCGGCCGGGTTGAGGCTTCTAGGCAGGTGGCGCGCAGGGCTTCAACGCCGGGAGGTGGCCGGGAGGCTTCTATGCCAGGCAGGTGGCGCGGCAGGAATGTGGCGCGCTGGGTGTCGAAGCCTCCACGTCGGCGTCTGCCGGGCAGGAATGTGATGCTGGAAAGCATAAGTGGCACTTATGCTTTTGAAGCGGCCGGCCGGGAGGCTTCTATGGCAGGTGCGCGGCAGGGTGGCGTGTGCCAAACCGCCACCGTATGACCGTATGATCCGTATGATTCTGCTCGTGTCCGCTAAGCTGACCAAGCTGAACGCCTTGATCAAAGCACTGCGGGAAGCCGACAGGTACTCCGCAAAACACTCGAGCAGTGCATAGGCCTGCTCATTTGGGCCACCAGCATTGCGCAGCATCTGAGATCCTGGCTAGCGCCACTATACTCGGACCTCAACAGCCCACCAGCAATCCCGGTAAAAAGAACTGCGGCCGCTTTGGACTTGCTTTGTTCTTTTGGGGGTTCATGTTTGGGTTCCAGCTAGGAGCAGTGCAACATGCCTTAACGACCCGCTTGCTCCGCACAGCAACAGACCAGCGTGCTAAAGCAGTAGCTTTCGCGCCTAGCTGCCGCTAGGCTGACTAATGGTAGGTCTTGGGTCAGTCGCAGAGGGGCAGTGATGTCAGGGCCCAGCAGCCCCAGCTTGACTGGCAGCGTGCGCCGTATCCCGCGAGAGACGTGTAACCTTTGATCAGTGGGTTTGTAAACACCTAGAGCAGCTTGGTTTTGTGACTTAACATTCTCTGGCCTTAAAAGGCTGCAACGCAGTCCGGCAAGCTGGCCGGGTGAAGCATTCCGCCTGATGTTGTGAGCCAGGCTTGGCGTGAAAGTCACTCTTCTCAGTGTTTGTGGAAGGTGTGTGATTCCGCGAGCGGCGTTTTTAGCACAAGGTTGGATTTTGAAGGCACTGGCCTTATTTGCTCAACGCCCTCAGAGAAAGTTCCGATTGTGCGCCTTTGCTTGGCAGACAACAAGTCAGGCAAGGTGGGTACTTGGAAAGAGGCCAGTGCTTATTGATTCTTGGGGTTGGAAGCTCTTCCCCCTACTCTGGGCGGATCCAGTGTCCTGTTCACTCTTGACTTGGTCCCTGCAAGTGGCTTTCTGAGCTCGTAGCTCCCTGCGGCAAGAGCAGCGAGGTCAGCTCGGAGGCGCGGGGAGACGTCGTGGGAAAATCCATCGAGCTGTGAGCAGTGTGCATGTGGCCTTACAGTAGCCCCGGCAACAAGGTTTTGGCAGATCGGGTCGCGAGTTCCCCGGTGCTCGGCCTGCGCAGATGCGGCGTTAAGTGGCGCCGGATTCGCGAGCTTGGCCGGGCCAGGTCTTTCCACATCTCAGAATCGCGTGCCTTCCGCGGCATGGCGAAACAGATCCTGGCGCAGCGGCTCAGCCAATTTCAACCTATGTATGCCTCAAGCCTAACAGTTTGGGCAAGATTTGTGAGATGGGCGATTCCACCAGCCTGTCTCATCCAGGGGAGCAGTGTCTACTCAGTCTATTCACAGCCGCGTGCCTGGGACTCAGTTTTGAGGCAGGCGGCGTGGGACCTGGGACCCTACATCGAGGCTGCTTATCCTCTACATCGAAGCTGCTTATCGGCACCGCTACATCGAGGCTGCCTATCGGCGCCGCTACATCGAGGCTGCCTATGAGCGCCTATCGTCAACGCCAATCGTCAGCGCCTATCGTCAAAACTGCATCGCCGATTGCTCGGTTTGTTCAATTGGTTGGAGTTTGCGCTGCAGAAATGGCCTCTGAACCCCGGAAGGGAGGTCAAGAACCAGGGTTGCAATCCCCCTGTACTGTGCATCACCAGTGTTTTGGTAAAGGAAACGAGTTAAATGCCTTGCGGAACTGGAATGCATTGCAGCTTCAGCCAGCTTTCACGGGTTTGTTCACCTAGAACTTAAAAGTGACGTTAGACCTTGGATCCCCGAGTGGGTGTGTTTTCCAACGGGGAGTATTGCCACGCAATAGCTCGCTTGCTTTGGTGTGCCAGTGCCTTGGCTCGGCTTTTGAGACATGTCCATGTAAAATCCCCTAGAAAGGGTCTGACTGACAACCCCAACTATGCGGGCGGCCTTGACCATCTTCTGCTGGGTATCTTCCCTTGTGGGGTGCTCACATCAACTTCGATTGAGGTTTCTCGGCAGTGAATAAACCAAGCCCAAGTGACAGGAGCAATATGTCAGCGCCATAGGCGAGTCGCTTTGACAAGGCGCAGAGCCAAAGTGCAGCCATGGCCGTGACAAAGCAGCTGCGAAGAGGCTCCCGACTCGGGGTTGGTGGCAGTCTTTGAACAAGTGCCCTGGGTGCCAAGAAGACAACGAGGCGTGGGTTAGTAGCTTCCAGCTTGATTTCCTGGGGCTCTTAAATGGGTGTGTCTCTTTTAGGGGATCCCCAAAATGGTGGCGTTCCTTTTGTTTCCCTTTCAAACCCCCCCCAAAAAGAAAAAGGGGGCTCTTAAACAGGAAGGAGAGACTCCAAATTCCAAAGGGTAAGAGGAAACCTTATTGATCATGTTTGGCCTGAAGCTCGGGATTTAGAGGGTTAACTCTCCAGGTCCAAACAGAAACATTCTCCGAGAAGGATCCCTGAACAGAATGGGGACGACCAGAAATTTGCATTCTTGCGTCAACCCCCGGGCTGGGGCATGATTTTGACTCTTGGGGGTTATCAAAGTCAGAAGCTGGGGGTGTTTCCCTTTGACCTACCACTTAGAGGGTGACTTTGACGGTAACATCATGGGCCAGCGGGCACCTTGTTCTGACATACGTTCTACAGCGACGCCAGCAGGAAACGTAGCATTTGGAGCGAGGCCCAGCTTCGCGTGTTTTTTTTTGTAGGATTTGGTGAAGCAGAGAAACAGGCGCCAAAACCAAGCCATGAATCAAGATCCGCAACTCTCCGCACAACGAATGACAATCAGGACATGTCCCATGCGCAAATGGGGTGTACTCACTTACTCTCCATGTGGCCATGGTTCAAAGCCAATGGTACCATTTTGGGATAGGTGCACCACCCGTCTATTCTAGTGGGGATTGGGATGTTCACTGGGGGTCCGGGGTTTTGACCCATGGCCATGTGAGTTCTGTCAGAATATCTAGCAGGCCATGATCTATTTGGGAGGGCATGGGCGAGTCTCTAAGTTTCCCCACAAAACCAGGGCTCTGATTTACGCATCCGTGGAGGGTCTAAGGCATACGTTGGTTGGGGACACTCAGTATGGGTCTGTCTTTTTACGGGGAATCCCCAAAACTGCTGTTCTCCTTCTCAAGCCGCCAAAAAATGCGGGGTGCCCTCAAAACAAGGACATGCCCCTATTGACATGCTGGCATGGCTCTCACGCGCAGGATTTGGAGTGCCTTCTATATGCTTATTTAGGGCCGGCTTAGTTTTGTTTTTCTCGCCGCCTTCATGCGCCCGAGACCAGCATACCACCCAATGCTACCAATCTGGCTGTGGGCCAAAACTAATGGTACCATTCTTGGGTAGGTGCACCACCCATTTTAGTCTACTTTAGTGGGAATTAGGATGTTTACTGGGGGTACAGGATTTTGACCCATGGCCAGCTAAACATGCACAACGGGGAATAGAGAAAAGAACTCAACTGCATCTATGAAGACTTTGCCATTTGACCAATTCTTCTTCTGTTCCCTACCTGGTCTTTGTTTTGGCTGAACATGCCAACCAGTTTCCCAACCAGAAAGTTTGACTGCAGGAGCGAGCTCTTGAAGTCGAAAAAGGATGCCGAAAGGCAAAGCCCGAAGCAAATCTGAACATATTTCATCGGGGTGAAAGAGCTGAGCTATTCGGGGGTGAAAGAGTTGCCCACCATGACTTTGCTTGGAAGAATCGATCCACTTAAGCCTTTGAAATTGGTCAATTCTGTGGCTTTGCGCCACGGTTTGCAGAATGGCTAAAGCCACCCGAGGTTGGATACACGGGCCAAAATGCAACCTAACCGAGGTTGCAGGCCCCTCTGGGTTTGGGGTCTCCATTTGCTGCCGGAAAGATGGTGCCTGGTTTGTCATTTGCCTCGTTGCCAAAGCTCCATCCCCAAGGACGTGACCGTGGGGATGTGAGAACACAAAACACATAAACCATAGGTGTCCTTTTCAGTTGTTTTGGTAGAAGAATAGATGGCGATTCCTGGTTTGCCTGGTGGTTTTGCTTCATCTACCAGGGCCATCCATCTATTTCCAACCTAAAAGGACACCTATGACATAAACCGACAGACGCAGCCTGGCCCAGCAAAAGCGCAGCTTCAGGCAGGCCGTGAACGCGCAGTCGAGTACTCCGGTGAGGCCGTGTCGGTGCCTGGGTGTGTGTTTCCCTTTTGCCCTGAAGACGTTCCAACCCAAAGAGAGGAGCCGTTGTACTTTTCTTTTTTTTCCTTCCCAGAACGGAGTCCAAGTTTGTGTTTGAGATTCGGCTGGTTTCAGGTTTTCTTGTGAGTTTTGGGCATGTACTGAGCCATTTGATGCTTTTGATGTGGTAGAGTACCGTTGACAAAGGCAACCCAGATTTCACACAAAGCCCCGCTTCGGGGGGCAACCCAGGTTTCCCATGTTCCTTGCAAGACGAAGCATCTCCTTGGCCTAAACGTTCCGCAGCTGTTTCAGCTGAGGCCTACAATGAGAAGCCAGCCGAACCAACACAAGTGGCGCGTTCCAAGAGGTTTTCTGAACATGTGCAGACTGTGTGCAGTGTTTGATGTTTGATGTTTGCCGCAGTTCTTCCAGATTCCACCGAGGCCATCTTGAAAGCAGGGAATGACTCATTGACTCAACATCTTCGGATCCAGCCCCCCGCTCCCCAGCGAGCCGGAAAAACCGCCATGGCCCAGCGCTCCGCGCGCCCCGCGCGCCGCGGCCGCGCGGCGGCCGCCGCGCTGCTGGCCCTGGGGGCCGCGTGGTGCTTCGCGCCTTCGGCCGGCGCCGGCGGCGCGAGGACGGCGTCCGGTGGAGGTCTGAGGGCCAAAGGGGAGCAGCTGGAGTACTTTGACGTCTACACGAAGGAGCAAAAGGTGATGTGGGAGGTGTGGGATGGCGATTTTTTTTTGGGAGCACAACATGAGAACAGGTTTTTAGAGTTGCGACGTTCATGATGCAATGGTGAGGCGTTCTTTTGCGGTGAGCCTTTTGGGTTGGTGAGAATACTTCGCTTCACATTGAAACGGTGGCATCTCAGACTGGCCTGAAAACAGCAACCAAAAGCGAACATGTATTCAAAGACTTGGACCCTTGTTTGGAAGTCCAAAGGGAAGTTGATTGAACAATAGGGGTTGAAACCATGGTTTCAACAAGGGGTTGCAGTATTGTTGACCTAGGGACAACTCCCATTTCAGCTTAGGAGGAGTTTCTTCAGCTGCTTGATGGCAGCCGGGCCGACCAGCGCTCCATCGGGGAGCAAGAGAAGATCGAGAGACGCGCAGCTGGCGTAGCTTCGTTTTTTTTTGGTCTACGAGTCATGGTACCCCTTTCACCTTGGCATTGCCACTATTGGGGTCCAAATATGTCCTGGGGTGGTCTTGGAAGGATCAACCGTTGCAGTTTCGTAGCCAGCAAAACAGTGGATCCTGCGTGTCCTTTTTAGAGGAAGTCCCCATTTGCGGGAGTGTCTTGAAGGGACAACCCAAGGCAAGAAGGCCAACAAGCACATGTTTTTGGTGGGTCCCCCTGTAAGACAAACCCATTTTTCCCTCGGGCGCCACGAATTCGGTTGGGAGAGCTGGCAACAAGTTCAGTTTCTTGTGAAACAAGTTTGCGCTCAGATGAGTTGTATTTGATCCAAGTCATTCTTGTTTGTCATTTTGTGATAAAACACCCGCGAGAGAATGCAACATATTTTCACGTCGTCTCCAAAAGCGTTCCGCGCGCGCGAGAGACACGAGCCGAGGGATGGTGAGCTTCCTGGAGATGCAGAACCCCATGCAGCGCCCAGCGGAGTCCATGCAGCTGGTGGGCAGGCGCCTTCTGGGCGGGCGATGCCCCAAGCGTCGCCAGAACGGCTTTCTACTTGGGATACATTTTTTAAGAATACGTTTTAAAGGGAAGCCACCAGGATACCACCCTTTTTGGGCTCCGAATCGCAAATTGTGTTGTATATAGCCTTTTGGCATTTTGGGGCTTGTCCGGGCAGTCGGATCAGGGCAAACCCCCGGTGGCTCGACTCGAATAGGCGCTTTGCAGGCCCTTCCAGTTGTTTTGGAATGCTCTTCCAGGGCTTCTCGCGGAAAGTCACAGTCCTGGAAAAGCCGAGGCTTCTAAGGGTCGCGATTTTCACGCATGTCAGTGGTGTAGTGGTGTGCTTTTGGCTCAACATGTGCCATTTCCAGTTGAAGAGTTTGGCAGACTGCTGTTCGTTGCGGGAGGGGCGCGAAGGTTTGCGGCAAACGGGCGGCTTAGGCTCAGGTCTTCTTTTGTTTTTTGCAACGCAGATTCGCTCCACCTCATAGATCATGGTGTTAGTACTGACCCAATCTTCCGCCCACAGCACCAGCCAACGGCTGCTGGTTCAACCAGCTTTAACGCCCTGTCCAAAAGCAAGCCACTTGAACCGACTGGGGGGTTTGGTTTTCCTATTTACTACACCATGGAACGATACCTAAACAGGGACACAGGAAGAAGAGGCCTATTTGCCATGGGCAAATGACCATTGCCATAAGAAGCAGTATGCTGCTTGTCTGCAGAAACCATGTGCGCCACAAAAACCAACCGGGGCTGCCTCAACTGCGTGTTAAAGGCAGGCCAAACAAAGGGTAACCCCCAAAATTCTATTTTGAACAAGCCTCACATGATCATGGCCCACCAAAGCCACGGTAAGCAGTCCATTCCCTGCCTTATCAGGCAACTAGGAAATAACTGTCGAAAAGGGGGTATACCCCCGACCAGTGGTTCGTGCCCGCGCGGTAAAACTGCCAGAGTGAGTCGGGAATCCGCGTCACTCCGCGTCCTACCTGCGTCATGCGCGTCATGACAGTTCCAAGATTTGTTTTTTTGTCTCCTGGACCTCGCGGCATTTTCGCCGAAGCGACGCAGGTGGCGCCTGAGCTTCTGCGGGGTGAACCGGGGGCTCCAGGTGCAGCCAGCCTTAGAGGCTCAGAAGGAGTCCCAGGCGAGGTTCGTTCTGTTGGTCTTGACTCACTTGCAAAGTTCATGGACTTTGGTGTCACTTCTTGTTGGTTGGTTGGTTGCCATCTTAGTGGTAACCTGAGTTCATGGACTTTAGTTTCACTTTTTGGTTGGTTGGTTGCCACTTTGGTGGTAGGTAACAAGTGGTAAAGGCAAAGACTCCAGCAGCCGGAAGCTCCCAGAAGGCTCTGTAAATGGGTCACCAAGCCTTCCTTCTACCAGGGTCCTTCTAACGGAGCTTCCATGGAATCGCCTGGGGGAGGGAACCTGGAATCCCATTGGAGGTCTGGGAATTATAGATTGTTTTTTCTCCCCAAGCATACCAACGCAGAGATGGTCCGTCTTAGTCACTCCCCAAGGGGGGGGGTGTTTGGAGGGTCCCCTTCCGGGGGGCTTCTGACTAAGAGAACCATTGGTTTCCTTTGATCACGCCCCGTAAGCGAGTAACATCGTTTTTCTTTGCACGGCATCCAAGAAGTTGAGACCTTTCAATGGGGTATCCCTGCGCGCGATTCGTTCGTTGCTTGTGAGGGCAGGCAAAGGCGTGATGATGATGATTTTCCACCTGGAAGGATGGCGTCAAATCGACTTGTGTTAATCCCCCGCTTCCACTCAACATGTGGGTATGGGTCAAATTATGCCACCAGGGGACCACAGGTTTTAGTCTTTGGTTCCATTTACCAGGGTTCCAAAGTACTGATTTCTGACCCACAGCCACATGATCTTTGTAACTTGTAACCATTAGATTCCGGGGTCTCAAGCTGTTTCTGGGTGACCATACTGCTCCAGAGGTCCTGTCGGATAAGCAAGCACGCTTAGGGTCCATGTTCCTCCGATTTTGGAGATAGTGACACGGGTGCAGCACCCAAGCCCATTGACCTGTTCGTTCATTTCATGTTTCTGACGGTTTATACAGCCACTACGATATTTGCAACTTAGCTAGATTGTCGAACCAGTACTCAAATCGCCCTTGCTGCTATATATTGCTATATGGGTCTGTCTTTTTTTTGGGTACCCGTTTTTGCCGGTTTGAAAGGGAAGCCAAAAACACAATTGCCATATTGGGGGTCCCACCTGAAAAAAGACAGACCCATATCGTCTTTTTTGGGGAGTCTTAGGCCGGCGAGATCCAGTCTGTGTCCCTGGAGATTGCGCAGGAGCGGTACGAGCCGATTCCGCATGGACCCATACATATGGCTATGAACTTCAATGACATAAATGCCAACTTAAATGATGTGCATCAAGGGGTTCTCAATTGATACTCGTACCCATGTTAGTTTTGTCCTTCCTCTTCCCTTGAAACCCACCCCAAATAGGGTAACCTCAACAAAACAATGCTCTTGCAAGCGCAAACTGGGTCCATCAAAGTGACAACCTCAACTTTACCCTCGAAATCAGGTCGCAACAGTTTTCCCGCGAATCCTTAGCCAAATGCATCTCGGGACTCAAAGGAACAAGACATACAGAGGTCAGACCATGGGTCTGGGTCCGAGGTTGATTCATCAGTCAAGTCGGTCTGCAAGGAACCGGCCAAAAGACTTTGCTGGCTCTCAGGGCAAACAGAGGTTTTAGGAATCAACCAAGGGATTTCCTGGGAAATCAGCGTGGCATGCTTTTTGCATGTTTCCCTTACCTGAGAATCAGCAAGATGAGGGGGCGGGTCCGAGCAAAGCAGGACTACTCCCTGAAGACGGAGGTGGTGCTGGGCCCAAATTCCGTGCTGGTGGCGCGCCAGAGCCCGCTCAAGAAGCCGCCTCCCCGGGGAGAGGTTCGGGATGCGAGCGCGTGTTGGGCCGTTTGGGGACACGTTCGGATTTTTTTTTATCCTCCCTACAATGGGGATACAGTGGTTCCATATCCCATTAAACCCCTGTCCAAGCCAAGCCCAAAAGCCATGGTACCAAGGCCCTCGTTGTGCTTTGAAGGGTTGAACATAGCAGCTGTTCAGTCACACGGCACGAGCTGAGTTATGTTAAAGAAAGGCAAACGTACCTCCGATAAGAGCGTACCTCCGGATGGCGCGCTACCATTGCGCCGCGGCTCTACAGATCATTTTGTGGCCAGGTGCTCAAAGAGGAGGCCGGCTTCAAGAGGTATGTGAAGGCCAGTTTCCTTTCCGGGGGGGTTGTTGCTTGGGGGGACAAATTGCCAGAGTTTTTCCAAAAGCTGACTTTCAGATGGTTGCGAAACATGGGGATGGACTCCCGACTTTTGGGTAGTTGGATGTGGGCGGAATGGATCTTTCTTTACCCGGGATGTTCTTGCTGTGACGGAGCACTGGCCCACACACACACACACACATCCGCTTGTCCCAGTCTTCAGGTTTGGTCCATCACCTTGGTGCCCAGTATTCAGGTTCGTTGTAGGTGGGTTTGGTTGAATTCATCGGGCTTTCTACCTGGTCGCAGCTTGCTCTTGTTCATCTGCTGGCGCCAATCACAGAACCAAGATGGTTTCAGTTTGGTTTAATAGTTGCCTTAGTTTATTTGCCAGAATGCATACGTGTTTTCCTGTATTTTCCTCCGAAAGTCTGCGGAAGGTCATTTGACATGTCCTCTCAGAGATAAATATATCCTTTATGGCACCTCCAAACGTGGCGATCATTTCAATGGAGCCCCCCCAATTGCATGGATCAACTTCAGCGGAACTCCAGGGGCCCTCAGGAAACTCAGGAAACATTCGCTCAGAGAAGATCTGAGAGCTCCAGGTCACGTACTTGGACGACGACCTGCTGATCCTGCGCGGCCGGGCCGCTTCGGAGGTGTACCGGAAAGCCTGACGGACCCGAGGTGCGGCGTGGAGGCCGCTGGAAGGAACACCAGGACACGCGTGTCCACTTTTGGCGTCCCGGACCCATATTTCTATTTATATATGAAGGGGGCATATTTTTTGAAATGTCATGTTCAGACTGTTTTCAGAGAACTGCGTGTTGGATCAGGTTATCAGAAGGAACAAATGGATTCTTCACTTCGTATTCTTTCTGTCAGTTTTTCTCTCGTCATCAACGCATCATAGGGCAGCATGATCTATTGGCAGAACCACTCGCCATGTTTTTCTTCTTTGGTCATACGCCTGCCGTGAAGTTTGGATAAAGACCCCGACAGCAGCGGGCTCCCTGGAAGGGAAAGGGTTCTTAGGCTTCTTGTTTCGGAGCTTGAGCTGGGGTACCCCAAATTTCTCCGAGCCCCAGCAAGGCGAGCCTCGCGCAGTCCCGGCGCGCGTTCCTGCCGGTCCATCGACGGCTTCGACGACTGCGATGGCGGAGAAGTCTGCGCCGCGGGAATCCGCGTGGAGGGAATCCGCGATCGCAGATGGCGCGTGGGAACTCCGCTGCGGCGGAGAGGTTGTTTTTGCTGGATTTTGTTTGCAGGTGAATGGGAAGTGATGATTCCCTGGGCTTCGTGGGAGAAGCACCCCCCTGTTAATAAGCTGGGGTTAATGAACAGAGGGTCAACATTGTTCGATATTTTGTTTGGAGGGTCAAAGACCAAGCCAGCGGACTTTTTCTGGAGTGCCGTGAAAAGAAAAAGAGGGTGCTGCGCTCGATGGGCTCGGGAGGGTATCCTGTTTGCCCTGTTTGGTCCATCTAAAGCTTGGTTCACTTTGCAAGGAATTACAGGCGTTTGAAATGAACCTGGGTGGTTTGGGGTCATTCCATGTCTGTTTTTCCCTGCGCAGGAACCAGCAAGGTCAGGCCAAAGGTGATCACCTTTCGTTCCCGGGTCCTTTGGGCAAGTGAGAAACTGGAACGTGCAGAACCGTTTCCCCGCCTGCAGTCAAAGACACCCAGTTTCCCCCTGCAAACATGACTCCGTGTCCTTTGGCAAGTATGGAGCCCAACGTTGTCCCCAAAAAGGTTTGGCTAGTTTTTTTTTGCTTTTGGAGGAGGCGGAGCAACTGAAAAGCGCACACTAACTGGACACCATTTCTGCATGTTGCTTGCTTTTGCGGGTGCTTTTTCAATCCCATGCAACTTCCAGCATGCGGCTTCCTCCTTAATTTCAGAAGCTCGCCGGGGTTCCGCCACCTCATCTTTTTGAGGTAGACCTGAACCCATGTGTGGTTGATTTCTTTTGAGCCGGGATTTTGGATTCAAGTCCAACCCCGAATTCATCAACTCGTCAGATGTTCCCTCCAAAAAGCAAAGGACCTGACCTCCAAAAAGCAAAGGACCTGATCAAAATCCGCCATGTGTTATTCCTGGGTTGTTATGAGCGTAGGTCAAAGGGTGTACCAGGTGACAATCAGCCAGGAAAAAAACAGGTAGGTCAAACTTGTATGGGTCTTTCTTAGAGTTGTTACTGACTTTTGGTGTTTCAAAAAGGAAGACAAAAGGAAAACCGCCAAGTTGGGGGAGACACACCCATATGGCCATGGTTCAAAACCCCGTCAAAACCACAGCCATATGGAGGTATTTAACATGCCCGTTTCGCGGCCCACCGAAACAGGAGGCGGGCTTGAACTACGCGTGCTTCGCTTGCCGTGTGCTCGACACGGCCGCGGCCATGTTCCAGGCAGCAAGAGAGAGCGAGGGTGCGAAGGGACAAACCAGTCCTATGAATAGGAGGTGTTGCCCTCCAAAAGAAACGGGACCCCCCCCCAAAAAAGAAAGGCAACAAACACAAGGAACAAGCAAAAAAAAATAACAACAATCAGGGGTGAATGTGTGCGGGGTGTCCATTGGTTGCTTTCGTTGCAGGACCCTTGATCCTTGTGGCTTATGGATCAGCTACCCTTTTGGTTGGACGGTTGGACATTTTGCTTCATTGCTTGGTTCGTTTGGCGCGCCGGACCGGAACTTCCAAACTTGAGGGTTTTTTGCGGTGGTTTTCAAGTCCCTTGGGACTTGGATCTTGAGACTTGCAAGGAGCTTCTCAGCGGGAGTCATCTTTTGCTGGACGTTGCTTCTTTGGCATCCCATGAAAGACTCGAACGAAAAGACCCCGTTTAAATCCGTACATGTTGGGGCGTGCAGCGAGGGCGGGTTTTCGTCGCATGAAACCTTCTGACCCTGACATGAGCATGCAGCTGATTTCCTTTCTCCGGGAATCCCCAGAAGGGTTCGTTCCATTTCTCCTTCCCTATCGCAGCGATCGCAAATTTCATGGGTTTTGACCTCTAGCCTTTGGATCGATCGGTTGGACATGTTTCGGCATGGCGTGTCAGAAGCCCCTGTGGCGAGTGGCCCATGAGTGAAAGGGTTGGGTTACAGGCAAGTTCTACAGGACAACAGCTGGTTACGGTGCTTTGGGGCCATGATTTCCTGTCACCAATTTTTTTGAAAGAATCCGCCAGTTTGATTCATTTGCGAGTCGACACCGCCCGGCATCCTCGGTTTCATGCGGGTGCGCGGGGGCACTGCTAAAACCGCCAGCTTTAGCCGAGTCAGCCACAGGAAAGACCCAGCACGGAAGCCACGCGCAGTGTCAGCTCTTGAAGCCCACGTTCTTTAGTTCAAGCCTTTCTCTGCTTCCCAAAGCCAGCGACCCACTCACAGACCAACTCAGCCCCCGCGGGTTTTTGCCACAGCCCCAGAGCTTCCCCCGCGATTTCCGCGGGCGACTTCTGGCCACCCGCGAGGCCGGGGGGCGGTGGGGCGGGAAAGCGAGGCGTGGAGGAGCGCTCGACCGGGAATGGCGGGAGCCACAAAGAAAGGCACACCCGTTCCGAAACGGCTTTGGTCTTCCATTTGGTTCCCCTTAACCAAGGGGTTCCCCTACAAGACGAGCCACCCATGTGCAACACGACGTGATTTCGGGGCGCATCTCGCCCTGTTTGCCTTACAAGTTCCCCCGAGGAGCTCTCGCAATGTGTCTGGAAGGAATCGGATCCCCATGGCTTCGGGTTCTGGTGGCCCGAGAAACAAATCAAACAACCCCCCCAACGATGAGTACCACAAAAAACAAAGACCCCATTCAGGTGTCCCTGTGCAAGAAAGAGAAAAACATGACCAAGCCTTGAGCCCCAGCGAGCAAGCCCAAGCCGCCAAGCCCACTTCGCGCCCACTTCGCGCACTTCGCGCACTTCGGGCAGGCGGAGAGAGCCATGCCCAGCGGCATTGATGCCGCCCTGAAATCCTTGAAGGCGGATGCCAACGTGCCAGTACCCACCAAGGCACGGGGCACGGGGCATGGACGATGCACCGAGAGCTAAGTCCTTGATGTTGACGTCGGATGAAACCAGCAATCTGTGTATTCACAAGGGGGTGGTTTTTGGCCCCCAAAAGTGGTCCGAATCCCCACTGAAACCAGGGACATCCCCAACATTAATCAACAGGGGCTTAGTTTTCAGGGGTCAAGTCATTTCAAAGGACAACACCCCATGAAGTCAATTTCCCCACGTTTCAAGCAAACACGGCCAGATGACAACCTCACGTTCTTCCATGTCCCCTTTGTTAGACAGCACATGTGAACTACAATGGTCTCGGCAACTGCCGCAAAGGGCAAATGGAATAGGACACACTTAACTTGGTGGTTCCCAGCCCGAGCTTTCAGTTGGTTGACTGGCGGTTTCCAGTTCTGCCACTCCAATCAGACGCATCGCACGCCCCCGAACATGTTGGAGGGGGCCAACCTTGAACTAAAAGTCAGAGACGCCCCCAAGTTTCCACCTCCCCACTTTCTCCACTCAACCCACTGCAAGCTTTTTCGCCTTTCATGTGGAGGGACCCAACCTAAGAACCAAAAAGTCAGAGACCGCAAAACCGCCACTCAACCCACTAAAGACCCAAAAAACCTAAAAGCCTGCGGTCGATTTGCTGAAAGGCGGAAAACACTTGGAGCGGCAGAACTGGTTGAGGTGAACCACCAAGTTAAGCATGTCTTGTTTTTAGGGGACCCCTCCAGAATGGTGTTGTTTCCTGTTTGTTTCGCTGGTTCAGGTGAACTACAATGGCTTCGAGCCCGAGAAGAAGAAGAAGCCTGAGGTCACGGAGCCCACCATCGACCCGGAGGAGGTGGGCATGGCGCCTCGGGCGGGCGGCCTGGGGCGGGGGGGCGGGTGCCCTGGAGGAGTCTCTCTAGGGACTTTTTTTTGTTTCAGAAGCCTGCCTTTGAGATTTAATTTGGGCAAAAGATGGGGCGACCACTCTTTTTGCCCAAAGAAATATGTTGATAGTTGATTTACGTGTATTTTCATTTTGAGTCTATCTTGGGGCTGGGCATCTTGAGACGAGCTGAGCCAAGAAAGACCGGTTGCGTCACAGGGACCCAATCCCCCAACGGATCCTCCGATAGGATGTTTTCAGGGTTACAATGCATTCTCGAACGTTGATCTTAGACCTTTATTTGCGTGAGAATAGTTTTAAGTTTCCCCTGTCGGTTTTAAATGCATTTATCACTACTGGACTTTTTGTTTCCTGTGGACTTAAGCAGATGGAGGTAGAGCAAATGGAAGGTTTGCCCAAGCCAGTCAAACGAGGAAATGGACATGACGGGTTGCAAGTTATTTGCGGACCATCGTGCAACCCTCAAGTTGTACTGAGACCTAAGAAATGTTCAGCCTCCTTTTCTATGGGGCATGGAGCAAAGCTAGAACTGTGTACCCCATACGACCTCCGAACCGTAGAAGCCTGGGGTTGCATGCAAGTGATGGCCAAGGAGAAGTGTCAGAAGATCGTGAAGGAGCAGGAGTTTAAGATCCGGAAGCTGAAAGAGAAGATGGCCGGTATTGCCCCAACGAAGAAGAACAAGGCGCGAATGCGGGGAGTGGGGTGCTCGCGACTGGCGCATGCTGGGGCGGAGGCCCAGAAAGCCTTGCATGCGGGTTGTTCCGAAGAAGGTTTGGTTGGTTTTGATTGGAATTGGTACCATTTTTTGTTCGGGATTGGTTGGTTCGGCTTGGGTTTGGTTCGGTTTGGTGCCTGAGTAATTCGCCTGACGAATTATGGGGCAAAGAATCGAAGGCTTCAGAGAGAGGCTCATGGTTGACAGGTCCTGAGTTTTGGTCTAAGTATTTTGATCTAAGCTGCAAAAGTCAACGTGAACTGACCTGGACGCTGCTTGAGTCCCCATTTTGCTTGGAAAAATGGGCTCATGTGCGTTAGTCCTGAGACTCGAGGTGGTTTCAACCCGGTCAAAATCCCCAGCACTGTTTCAGGGCTCAGAAGATACAGCTTGTCGATTTATCCTTTCCACCAGGAAAGCAATTTCAGAGAGGGAAACCACTTGGCAACAAAAAGCACCGATCAGCTGGCGGAAACCACAAAGAACACCACAACGAGTTTCTCAGGGGGTTAGCGGTGGGCCTTCCCCCCCAAACCAAAGCACAAAACAGCAACAAGCGACAAATACAACCAGAAACAGTCTTCCCCCTCCCCCCAAAAAAAGAGAGGCACAAAAGTAACCTAAGCAGCAACAAGCAAACAAAAGCCACCAAGAACATTTTCTGCCGCCCGAAAAAGAAAGAAAGAAGAAAACACCAGACAACTACCGCTGGGTTGAGAAAAGTTGCCAGACTCAGGCAGATATCACCGCGGTGAAGGACCAGGTCGAGGAGCTGCAGGCCGACGGCAACTACCGGGTGGCCCTGGCCTTCGTGCGGAAGGCGGAGGAGGAGCGAGGAAGCGGCGGAAGCGGCGGAAGCGGAACGGGGTGGGGGGTTTTCGTAGGTAGGTGGGGGGGCGAGGGCCAAAAGTCAGGTATGTGGGTGTGTCTGGATGTTTTTTTTGGCAGGCGAAGGGTACCCAACTTGGGGTGGGTCAGCAGATTTTGACACATACCTTTGCGTCAAAATGGGGGGGAGCCTCAAACATGAAAGTCGGGTTTTCCTGCTGTTGAACCAGAGTGAAAAGGGTACCCTGCAACAAAAAGACACATCCATGTTGTCCGATGGATTCCGCTGGGACTGGTGGTGAATCCACCCTTGCACAGTTATGCCATATAGTAGGAATTCCTACCCGCATCATGAGTCATGGTTCCCTTAGTGGACATTTCTACCATGGCAACCATGACCATGACTCATCAAGGAGTTTTGACCACACACACCCTGTTCGGTTTTGATGGGGATCCCTCCGGGTTTCGGATCAGGGTTGGAGCACCTGGTTCGAACATCAAGAAGCCACTCGTGTGGAAACCATATCATTTTGTTTCCCTTTTACAAGGAACCTTGAAAGGGGGGGGGGCCAAATCGAGGTTGGTTCAAACTCTTTTGGCCGCTTGTGCCCAACCCTGGAAGGAGCCGCGCTTGTTTCAACGACCTCCTTTTCACTTTAAATGTGACCGGAGTCCGGCTGTGTCAACAAATGTTGCCGCCAACACTGGCTGGAAGCGCGTGTGCTTCGGTCAACATGAACGAGGGGAGGTTCTTGGGTTGCTTGCGTTATTTGGGGGGTAGTCAACAAATAGATTTGTCGCAAGATGGATGGTCTTGCTCGGGGCCATTCCATTTCGATTTCCCCACCTTTCCCCACCTTTCCACCAGCAAAGCGGTTTGAGACCCCCCCACCCCCATGCGCCTTAGCCTAGAGGGGGACCAGACCCCGCCAACGTGGTTTCCATTGCCTCGCTCCGTTGGGTCCCTTGTGGCCTCAGGAGGAGCGGGACAAGCGCCGCGCGGAGCGGGAGAAGGACGACGAGGCGGCGCTGGCGGCCGGGGGCCTGGGCAAGAAGAAAGGCGCGGGGTGTGGGCGGAGAGCCGCGGGGCCGGGGGGGGGGGGCGGGTTGGGAGCCGAGGGGGGGGAAGCAGATGGGGGGGGGAAGCAGAGGGGTCCCGGGATACGGGTCTTGCCTGGTTTCCTGGAGATTTCTGGGGTTTGAAAGGAGACCAAAAGGAAAACCCGCTCATTGGCACCCCTAGTGGCAAAAACAGGTAGGGCGTGACGAAAGCCGAAAGCTTGCCCGACGGAAAGCAGGGTACGTTGGTGGAGGGGTTAGAAAACATAGTTTTTAAGTCCCCTGGGGTCCCTCAATGCGTTTTGGTCTAAAACATGGGCACAAATTGTGTTTTCCCTTGAAACCACGAACCGCACAGGGACACCCCACGCCGCCGAGAGAGGGAATCCAGGTCAGCTTAGGTCCCAGCGTGTTTTTGTTTGAATCACGCCCGGGGGGTGCAGTTTTTTTTTTTTTTTTTTTTTTAATCACGCCTGGGGGGGACCTTTTTGGAAATCACGCCTGATGGATTTCGGTGCCGTTTTTTGAAATCACGCCTGGTCCCGGTGCTTGTTTTGTTGCATTCCTGCGTTTTGGGCCGGGGCGTTCTTTCTTTTGAATTCACCCCTTGGGGCTCCGCTTTTGTTTTTTTGAATTCACGCCCTGGGCCCCCAGGCGTGCTTTCGAATAAAAAAATAGAAGCAACGGGACCCCCCCCCCCAGGCGTGAGTTTTCAAAATATGTGATTCCAAAGAAAAGAAGCACCGGAGCCCCCTTATGCACCATGAAATCGACATTGAAAGATCATGGACGAGGTGTGCCACCTTTTACTTCCCCAAAGGGCCATTGCCAAAGGATGCTTCTCAAAAGGTTTGCCGGAGGATGGGGGCAGGGGCCCCTCGGTGATCATTTCAGCAACCCTCCAATCATTTTCAACATTCGGCGGTGGAAATCCAGTGACCCCTCCCAGTTCTTCAGTTTGTTTCCTACAGGATTTTTCATGGAACCCAACAAGAACCGCCTTCGCAACAGTCCCAACCGACCCTGTCCACGAAATATCTCTAACAAGTTCATGTTCTTGTTAGAGAGATATTTTGATAATTGTTGCCAAGCTGCAGGACCACTTTTTTGGATCTTAAAAGGGCTTTCGGTGCTGGATCATGTCCCATGTACAACGGGAGGGTCCACTATGAACACTCCTCCCAAGCGGTTTTGGTTACTGCATGTCGCCAAATTCAGTTCAGTGGTTGCAGCGGGTGATCCTCACGGGCTCGCCCCCTGCGCACGTCATCCGCGAGTGATAGTAGCCCGGCGCCCTCCAGAAGACCAGGATCGGGAGGACCGTGACCAGTCTCCTGAAATCCGGCGTGCAGCACCTCGGGCACGGCATCATCTCGTAGATCCGCGTGGCACTCTGCAGGCCATAGCAGTCCACATGGGAGTGATGCCTCTCCCCATGCGCACGCGGGGTCCTGTATAGGATTGGCTCCAAAGGCAAATCTTCCTCACCCGGCGGGATCATGAGCTCCAGCTGGTCCTGAGCTTCTTCTTCCGTCTCCAACCTGAACTTAGGCATCGGCTTGCGCCCCCCAGCCGTGCACTTCCTCCATCTCCTGTGGAAGTCCTCCTTGCGATGTAGCTCCACCTCCGGTTGAACTCGCCCTTTGGAATGTAGCTCCACCTTCAGTAGATGAGGCACTTCCCGATGTAGTTTCTCCGCCAGTGGTCGCGCCCACCGTTCTTCTGATCGTCTTCGACCAGAACTTCCTCCTCCTCAGATTCCCTCGTGCGGCCAGACCTCATAGCGCCGATCCGAGGCATCTCCGTCACTAGGATCTTCAACGTGTCCTGCGGCTCCTGGTCTCGCCTTGCTGAATCTTCTCCTTGACCTGGACCTTGGAGACTTGGCCGTTGTCCTGGTCCATCGCGCCCTTTCCTCCTCAAGGACCAGCCGAAGCATCCAGAGGCCTGCTAGCTCGGTTTCTCGCTCTTCTCCGGCATTTGTCTTGTCTCGAATAATTTTCCGGATTGGTAGACGATCGTCTGGTTCCACCACAGACACCGCAATCTTCCCACCCTCACTTCCCCAAATTCAGCATTCTGCCAGGTCTAGTCCAGTTACTCCTTGGTGAACAGGGGTCCATAGCTCTCTGCTTACCAAATTGCATCCCCACCCGACCCAGCCCTGCTGATCCCCAGCCAAGCTTTTTCCACTGCGGGATGGCGCCGCTTGCCGACTCGGCAGCCGGCGACCCGGTCTTCCTCTCGACTGGTACGCTGGACCCAGAAGACCCTTGCAGCCTGCCGCCCGCCTGGCTAAGAGGCTTGTTTGCGGAGTAGCGCGAGGCGCAGCGGCGTTGCAGACCGCTCTGGAGACCTGGCGCCGAGTCCGGAGACCCAGCGTTGCAGACCAGTCTGGAGACGTCGCACCCAGCGATGCTACTGCCTCCTGCCTCGTCCAACACCGGCTTGAAGCTACTGCCCCGATCTCCCAACTAAACCTATGAATGAAACAGTGGTGTACGCCGCCCTGCACACATTCGTGCATGTCGCGCCGTGTGAAATCACTGCCAGCGGAAGACCGGCTCGAAAATGACACGCGACCAGCGGAAGACACGCCAGGCACTTGTTGGCCTTTTGCTGAGCCTGTTCTGCTTCTTGAAGTGGTCCATCCTCCACCGGTAGAGGCCACCTTCCACACCTCGTGCTCCTTCAAGGAAAGCGTGGCGCCTGGATCTCATGAGGTCCACCTATTCCTTTCGCTGTTTTCTTTGTCGACGTGTTTCTTATTATGTTCATAGTAGTCCTTCACTCTCTCTCCAGTAGTCCTTCAATGCCATTCCTTTCTGCATTCTCATTTCTTGTCTTCCATCCATTCCTTCCGTGTCGAGTGTGCTGGCGCGAGAGCCGGCGGCCGCTGCGGAAGAGAAGCAGCTGGAGGAGGAGAATGCCGCCGAAGAAGCGGCAGCAAACTCGAGGCGCCCGCGTGAAGGCCAAAAAGACAAGTGCTCGCAGTCCAGCCGTTAGGAAGAAGGACAATAAAACCGAGAAGAAGGGCAAGAAGAAGGCGAATTCTGCGACGGCCAGGCTGCACAGAGCCGAAAGCAGGAGCTGAACTGGCGCCCTAAGGACAAACGCAACAGCTGGCTGAGGCGCGCGAGGGCAAGATCTTTGGTCGTCGCTTTCTCAACCGCGCACGAAAGCCGCGTTCGAAAAGCCCGCTACCGCGAGCGCAAGCGGCAAAACAAGGCCAACCAACACGCCGCATTTACACAATGCGTGTTTTGAATATGAAACCTTCTCTTTTCAAAAGTTCTTCCTTACTATTACTGTACTACTCTGACTGGATGTCGTACCAAGTTTAACTCCATTTATGTACCTGTCAATCATTCCTTGGCAGGTGCTTCCTCTATAGCGTTCGTCATATCCAACATCAACAATTTTGCAGGTTTTGCCATCTTGATATCTGTTCTTAGCCGTTAATAGCGATACATACCATCTTTTTGACGTAGTTTGGCCATATTGCAAAGAAGTAAACGAATCATAATAGGTTGAGTACTGCTCAAATGTCATAGTTGCTTCACTTGAGAAGTTGATTTTTTTGATGTGATTTACTCCTGATAACATTGTATGTGATTTCATGCTTTGTGTGATGAAGAATGCTTCGTAGTAGCTTTGATACGCCAGTTCTTTTTTTTACCTTGTGTTTGACTACACCTTTTGACCTCTTATGTTCATCACCCTCGCCGTGGATTGTAAAGGCGTAGAGTGTAGGTTTCAACCCGATAAATTTAGTAGTGATTTTGCCGTTCGCCTCGTCTTTAAGACATTCCTAAGACCTGCTCATTGGTTTTGTCGCAGCAAGGGTGATTTTCAGGAGAATCGCGGAAAAACATATGTTGTTAATCTCGTTGATGTCCTTATGAACATCATCCGTGAAAGTTTGAATTACATAACTATGCTTTCATTGTACTTCTTTTTCAAGGGCGCGCCAAGTGCCAGGTCGGACCAAGGCAGAAACGGCGTGGTAGCCAGGTAGCAAAAAGAAGCCCGGCGCAAACTTGGGCATCGCAAACGTGCTTGAGTCCCTGGTCAAGGTTGGCTGGGCTCACTTTGCGCCTCGTATGATAGCAGGCGCGACCTCCGGCCAAGCAGACACCCGAATCTCCGCAAGAGGCGTCGCAGCGACCAGACGCCCATCGAGGAGGAGGAGATTCCGTGGCAGACGACAGAAGGCCACGCAGCCTGAGCCGGCCACCGCGGCCGCATCGGTGCGACGCCGACAGCCGCAGCAGGAGCCCGCAGGTTTTCGAAGACGCACGCCCGAAGTTGCGGCTGAAGAACAAGGCGCCTTCTCAACTGCGCAGACCGGTAGGGAGCTCAGGCGCCTTGCAATGCCGAGCAAATTCGACTTGGCGGCCACACAGACACACAGCCGCCCCCAGCGCGGCAGCACCGCAGGAGGCTTCGACCCCGCGCAGCAAACCTGTTCAGAAGCCAACTGCCGTGCAGCATGCTCCAAGCATAAATTGCCGACACAGCATTGTGAACAACTTCTGGCCCGGGATTTGCTGCTCCCTGACTCTCAAGAGACTTCATCAGGGCGATCGGCAGGGCACATACCATTTGAAAACCAGATTGGACGGCAACAGGGTCGGCTTGCTGGTCGACCCGGGCGCTCATGACAACCTGATCGGCTCCCGCACTTTGGAAAAGCTGACACTGCAGGTTCGATTGCGGCACAAGTTCCAATTTGGATGACCGATGAGCAAGGCGGTGAACTTCATGGAAGCTTCAACGCGCCAGTTGTGCCGGACTCCGAGCTTCCCCCTCTGCTCGGTCTACGCAGTTTGATGGCGAAGTCCGCGGTACTGGACATGGGCACCAAGCGGTTGATCATTCCTGGAGATGGCGGGCTGCGTGTACAAGCCAGCCCGGGCACCATTGTCTTGCCTCTGCAGGTTAGCGAGTCAGGACATCTCATCTTGGAGGTGGACACCTGGATGCAGTTTCCCGATGAGG